TGTCTGTGTGTGTGTCTGTGGGGTGGCGGGGCTGGGTGCGGGGCGCAGGCGGGGCGGGCGGGCGTCGCCACCTGTGCCCAGGGCGGCGTCCGGGCCGCTGCGCGTGCCGCTCGCTGCGGTGTACGCCCCACCACCCGCCTCACCCCTGCGGCGACTTCCTTGCCCCCCCTTGCATTGCCCTGCCCCTGTGAGTGCGTTCCTCCTTGCGATGCACGCCTCTCGTGAGGCCTCACCCTTCGCGGCCGCGCTTTCCTCCCTCCCTCCCCCGCAGATGGGCTCCTTCTTTGTGGCCCAGGGCGTGAAGATGGACAGCGCAATCGGGCTGCCAGGCGGCGGCGCCTTCATCATCCCCGCCGCCAGCCTGGCGTGAGTGGGCGGCACGCGCGGCGCGGCCCGCCGCGCCCCGCGCCGCGGGGCGGGCCGCCTGGCCCCACCCCCGTAGTGCAGCGTGCAGGGCAGTCACTGCCCCGGAAACCTCGGCGGCGCGTGGTCCGCTGTTGCTGCCCCCGCCTCATGCCTTTCACGCCCGCCCCCGCGCCCTCTCCTACGCATGCGCCCGCTCCCGCGCCCCATGCTGCAGCGCCATCAACACGGTGGCGATCGTGGTGCTGATCCCCATCTATGACAAGCTGCTGGTGCCCGCCATGCGGCGCCTGGGCAGGACCATCACCCTGCTGCAGCGCATCGGTGAGCTCCTGCGCCGCTGCTCGCGCGTCGATGTCGTCATGCATGTGCATGTGTGTGTGTGTGTGCGTGTATGTGTGTGTGTGTGTGTGTGTGTGTGTGTGCGCGCGCGCGCGCGCGTGTGTGTGTGTGCAAGCCGGCGCACGTGCGCCGCGCGGCTGCAGTGCGCCGGCGCATCGCGCGCCGCCCGCCCGCGTGCGCTTCGCGCCGGCAGCCGCTCTCGCCAGTTGAAGCTCACAACTCCCCCGCCGCCCCTCCCTGCCTCCCGTCTGCAGGCTGGGGCCTGGTGGTGTGTGTGGCTAGCATGCTGATGGCTGGCTATGTGGAGTATCACCGCCTCAGCCTGTGCAACGAGGGCACCTGGCAGCCAGACGGCTCCGACGGCGGCGGCGCCGGCATCGGCGGCTGGCTGCTGGGTGGGCTGCGCGGTGGCGGCGGCGGCGCCAACAAGCACGACGAGTGCCTGCAGGCGATGAGCGTGTGGTGGCAGGTGCCTCAGTACCTGCTGGTGGGGCTGTCTGAGGTGAGATGGGGGCTGGGGTGGGGCTGGGGTGGAGGTGGGGGCTGCGGCTGGGCAGGGCGGGCAAGCTGCGGCTGGGCAGGGCGGCGCGGCGCCAGCGCCCCGCTGGTTGGTGCCAGGGGAGG